TCTCCTTGTCTCCTTTTTGGATCTTTTGACAGGGCAGTAGAGTTCGGAACTTTCAACTCCCCCCTTTTACGTGCGAGCTTCAGGTTCGTCGCACGGCGGTTAATTCTCAAGAGCTGCAATTCAGCCAAATTAAGGCCAGAACCAAATTTGATGCGATTTGCATGTTTTTTTGTGCGGTCATTGGTGACCGGGATGAGACCATCCCCCATCTTTGGCGAACAATTACTATAACCGGTTCCCCCCCCACCTTCACCTATGCACACTGACCGGTGTAGCGAGGAATGGTCAAGCAAACTTTTCTCAAACAAATCGTGGCATGGGAAGGCCCTTAATCCAGCAGTGGATAGACCAAGTGCTGCCAATGATGATGGGGCATCGGCAAATCGAACGCACGAGATGACCGCAGCCGATCGTGGCGTCTGCTCGTGGATTTCTGCGTCGCCTTCTGGAGACAAAGGCGTTGCGACTTTTTAAGTTGAGAGAGAGAGACCGGGCTGCGAAAAGGGGAGGGGGGTAAAGGGGGCAGGAATATATACATGGGGCCCCATTCTATAAGCTGTAAACTATTTTTATTTTACCAGGTAAGGCCCGCTGAGCTCCATAGCTCTTTTTGACGAGCGACCTGGCCGTCACGAATGATAGCCCCAACGAAGTGGCTTATCGCGTGGACATTTATAGCGGCCAAATGCATTAAATGCGTGTTGATTTTAAATGCGGAGGAAAAAACCGGAGGACCCTGAGAAAAATTCACACGACCACGGGGAAGAACATGCAAAGTTCAAATGCACAGCAGGCGTCAGGGTCGGGATCGAACCGGCGACCTGCTGCACACCAGGCGAGGCAATTAACGTCTCGACACCGCGGCGCCCTCCCACCAGAATTCATTCCTTCCGCCAGGATCGGCTCCTATGCATTGTAAACACGTGCTGTGCATTAGGGGCCGATAGATTCACCCACCGTGGCATTTGGGATGAATCGTCCCGTAGTTTTGGGGTCACGGTTCCATTTGAAGACTCGAGTGTTGTTTTCATGCCGTGTTGAGTAGGCCGGCGCATCCGGTGGCTGGAGCGATGCCTCGTATCCATGAGGAACAGCGTGCACAAATCGAGATGCATAGGTTCCTTGATATTTTTCCTACCGCCGCTTCGGAAGTGTCTTTCGTTGTTAGTCTTCCTGCTAAATGTTTATTCTTCATGCGTAGGTGTTACCGACCCACCCGTGCGTTACGGGTCCTCCAGTCAACCGTGTAGGTTACCGAACACATTTTCAACCAAGATCTATATCCTTGGTTGATGTTTTTGTTTGGGAGATTGTTAGTGCGCAGGGTTTCTCCGATGCGGTTGACCCACCAAACAACCCCATGAACTATAACCCTACAGAGTTGTGAATTCCTGGTGTTGACCTATTGACCTCTTGACTGCAGCGTTTTCTCGACGCTGTGGTTTATTCGTACAGCGGTCACCGACACGCTCCGAATGTGCGCAGAACGCCGCGCCAGTGCCTGGCACTCGGGGGGAACTCTGCTCATATGTTCATTTCTTTATGTGTCTGTAAAATTGATGTAAGCTTCTCGGCGTAGATTTCCTTGACACTGTACTTTTTCAGGGTCCCAAAAACGTTAAATATTACACAGGATGACAAACTGTATATTTGAGTGGGGGGAGGGGGGGTGTGCTCTTTATCAATAATCAAGAAAAAAGTACAACGCTTGCGGAGTGACGGTGACAATCTCTGCGAAACTGCTGTGTCTAGTGGCGTTATCAACCTTGAGCGTGGGAAAGGGGGGCCTAATGGTCGGGAGCCGCAGCCGAAGGAGGGAACACACCCGAGAGGATGGACCGCCTCCGTGGAGACGGAGCGATGAAATACCACGAGCTCGTTGTGCAGGAGCTCGATGCGTTGCTGCATCACGACACCATGGCGGCTGGTGGTGACTTGGGAGACGGCTGAGGATGCAAAGTGGCCACATTCGGAGCCATTTCAATATCGTCCCGTAGCCCACTCGAGAAGGTGACATTCAAGCTCTTGACGTAAACTTTAGAGACGATTCCGTGGCGTTCCTTGCTTTGGTAATAATTTCCCTGCTGTGTTTACTACGTGCTGGCAGCAGCGTTCACCCTGCCAAATCCATGCAAACTTCGTTTGAGAACAAGCATGCTAGGGCATTAATTTCAGCAAAAGATGAATGATAGTATAATGAATGTCTCTCCGTGGGTTTTTGCTTTCATTTTTCCTGACTCATTTCAACATTCATAACGACGATTCGTACGTTCACCAGCGGGCGTTGGTGGTTTCGCGTGAAAATTGCTCCGCCAATAGACAAAGACTCCCCTAGCAAAGCAGTTTGCCCCGAAGTTATTTCCAGCAGCGGCTGCGGGACCTCGTTTATATTGCACAGGTGTGTGGAGCAGTCGGTGTGTGTGTGCCCCACCACCACCCATTCGGTTATTGCCCTCCCTTCGCCGCCAGGAAAAAAACCCCTCGAGGCGTGATAGATGTAAGTCAACAAAGTGTGGGCCCTCGCGAACGAACGCCCGTGACGAACAACCGCGGCTTACAAACTCTGCACCTCTGGGTTGCAAGCGATGTGCTTTAGCCACCAAGCCAAGAGCCGGATAAGCTTTTGGACAAAGGGGCATGGGTCACGTGTGTGTGTGTGTGTACGCGCGTGCATTTGTTTGTGTCGAGATGGAAAGAAGACGTTCTTGTTGTTGGCGAGGTTACAGGTGCGATTCCTAGATACACACGAGGTGCGCGTGGGTGTGGTCACGCATTCCTCGTAAGCGCGTGCGTTGTGTGCGAGTGTGCACGCGCATGTGTAAATCCTGGACGTTGTTTGTAGCTGTGTGTGTGTGTGTTTTGCTAAGGCACTCAGACCAGGTTGTGAAAGGTACTCTATTAATAAAGATGATAATGTTGTCTGGGTATGCATACGCACGTGTGTGTTTGTTGGCACGTGTATGTCGTGTGTGTGTGTGCATAGCGGTGGCGCAGTGGTTAGCGCATTGCGCTAAAAACCCCTGCGACACGAGTTCAATTCCAGCTCACGGCCAACACCAGTGACGATGATATGAACAGGTCCTGGGCATCCCCTAGGTCGACTATGCCTCAAATGAGTACCTGTTGCGGTGTGTAAACATCGCCACTGGGGAGACGAAGTCGACCGAGCGTGGTGCTGGCCACCCACCCCATTATGCACCGTGTCGGCCTTCATAGGTGCTCGCTTAGCAGCACTTGCCCCAGCAGTTTGTTTTTAACGCTATGCAGGGGATCTTTGTCTTTGTTTGTGTGCGGCTGTGCACGTGTTGCGAGTTGTTCCCAGCAATGCTCGCTTGTGTGCATGCGCGTCTGTTTGTCCCCAGTGTCTGTGCCGCCTGGGGCAATGAGATGAATTCCCACCCACAGCGTAGCTTTGTAACGCTAATAATGACTCGTGGTCGAGCCGCGTAGGAAGGAGAGGGGCATATCGAGCTGACGGACATTTATTGTGAACCGCCGGCTCGTTTCCTCCTTTTTAAGAACGCCCTTTAACACTTTTAATTTGAAGGCGCTCTTAGGAGCTTATTTGTACCCGTGTTTTTGTTTTGCTGGCCGGGTATACTCCGTTGCGCTCATCCGCTGCCGTTGCTACAATCTTTATCGACCGGGCCGCGCGGTTGAGATTCAGATGAATGTGACCAACCGCAGTTACCGCCGCCTTGTGGGGAAAACGGAAGGCTTTGTTCCACTGGGGGGCTGAGGTCATTGCTATGAGTGGACCGTGCACGGTTTGTTCTCCTCGTGTATTTATCGGGTCCAGCGTTGGTGATGTCATCGCCGCTTGCTGCTGCTCAATGCGATGCACTCCGAAGACACACGGGCTGCAGGCTATAACGTAGCCAAAAGGCACACGTAGCCAGCGCATTCTCTCTCGTGTCACGCGCACTCTCGTTCTTAAAAGAGCGCACAGCCAGCGGTTTTGCTCGGCCCAGGAGTTGTTGTTGTTGTTTGTTTGTTTGTTTGCAGCAGTTTCTGAGATATTGCCTAGTTTTTTTGTTGTGGAGAGAGACTGTGCAGTGTGTTTATTTTTGTTTTTTCTCTCAAAGCCCGGTGTGGTGGCGTGCAAGCGAAGTCTGGCCACCGGGGAACAGATCTCGGGGATGTGTTCTCGTGGGTTTTTTGTTGTTGTCTGTATAGTGCGTTCCGATTAATGTCCCTTTTCAGATTATGCAATCTTACATTATGTGATGAAGCCGGCCGACCGTTTGATCGCGAAACAATTCACGCGGATCGGATCCGGTGGGAGCGCTTTGTTGTTGACCGCCAGTGCCGCCATCCACTGGGCGATGTTGTTATTGCAATGTCCCACGTAGCCCTTCGCACAATTGTTTTGGGGGTGTTCTCAGCCTTGTTCTAACACAACCGTTCCCAGCCTTGTTCTAACACACCAGTTCCACGGTTGTGTTTTTGTGTGATTTGTTTACCTTTCCTATGCTTTGCACTCTTGTCGTGCGTTTGCATTGTCTGTTGTTGTGACGTTCTCACCCCGTGCCCCTGCGAAAAAGAGCTTTGTAGCTCATCCAGAGTCCTCCGGAAACAAATAAATATTCTAAAGTGCTTTGAACTCATCGTTGTGAAGGTCCGGACACGGGAGGGCATCCTCGGATGTGTCTGACCATCGATGAACCACGCACAGCACTCGACGCCAATCTTGGCTACACTTGTTGTTGTTGTTGTCACTGTTTTGTTGTTGTTTATTCACACCTTTTCTGGTCGTGCAACGTCGTGCCGCTCCGATCCTAGTTGGTGGCTCCACAGCTAAAATCTTGAGGCAGGTGGCTTGGTGAGAGGCGCCACCGTTGTTGGGGCGTGATGGCGCACGAGCGACCGTGGCGGGTCAATGTATTATACTTTCACTGCTTAGGATGATTGCGAGATGTTTCGTGGTTTTTTTTTTTTCTAACGGGGTCGTGTGTTTTTAACATTTTTAACGTTTTCATGTTTTCTTTTTTTTCTTGCAGCCAAACCGCAAGATCAAAAATTGAATCCATTCTGGTAAGTGCCTCCCATTTACATTGATGATTTCATTTGCTATTTTGTATTTTAGAGTTCCAATTGTTGTCCGTCACGTTGCTTCATAGAGGGCCTTGGTTTTAATAGGCTGAGTGCAGCTTCGTTGGGATCCGCTTTAAAGGCCCCTCATTGAAAAGTCTTAGAGAGGAGCCTTAAGGAAAAGCTTCATCAGGACTCCTGTAGACAAGCGTCATATTGCAGTGTCATAAGGAGCTTCGTAGACTTGTCCCGGGAGAGAGCCTTATCGATGGGTTATATTGAGAAGCCATAAAGATGAATCTCTTGAAGAAGGGAGCCACATTGAGCGGCTTCATGTGGGCCCTGGGTAAACTAAAGCTCCCTCGATGAATCGAGGGAGCTTTGAACAGATGATTTACCAATGCACCACGGACGAGCCTCCATTGCAAATGTGCGTATGTGCTACTGCTGTATTATAACAATTCCTAATCACCATCGCAACGGCATTGATAAATCTCTGGTAATAGTCAGTCGGGCACACTTTGGCGCGCGTTGATGCTGTTTGTTGCATGTTTATTCGTCTTCTCCGAACGCCTTCGCCAATCTTTTGCTCCCAAAGAATGGTTTCTCTTATCAGCTCGTCGCATTGTCAATGTCTCCACCCTGCAGCAAGAAGTCCATAAGTTCACGGACAATGAGAAGCTCTACCTCTATCTTCAACTACCTTCGGGTCCCAGCAATGGGATTAAGCAGTAAGCCGGCACTTGCGCTGACCACTCACGCACACACTTCCCCCCCCCCCCCCATCAAACTGCCCACAAGTGTTTTGTATTCAACGATGTTGGGGCCTTCATGCCCTTATTTTATTAGCAATCAATGCGATCGTTCAACTTCACAACCAAAGTGGGGGTCCGTTCAAACGCGAGGCTGTTTTGCAAGGGAGACCTGGGAGGCAGGGTAGACTTAAGGGGTGCTAGCAAACATACCACCTGGTGAGTCGGGCTGTCGCACAGTCCCCTGACTCAAATCTCAACTTCATTCAGTCGAAGAATCCTCTAAAGTTGGCCCTGAGGGTGCAGCAGGACAAGTCTCGGGGCTCGCGGCTTCTAGAGAAATGCTTCGTCAAAGCGTGCCTGGGTACAGAGTACAGAGGCGAAATTCACAGGGTACAAAAGTTAATGTCAGAAACAGGTGTAAAGTACGTGAGCACAATTATCATTCGCGTAGGGTTCAATTAAATAAAGACGAACGGTGAATATAATCTTCCAGTCTACTTCTGTTCCCGCTGTTGCAATTGCTGCTGTCACTTTGCGCTATCGAGAGACAAACTCATTGAGCCTCTAATGAAGCCCTCTGCTCCACATTTCTCCCAGATCACTTTCATGACTACCGCTGCAACAACAACACAAAATCGATGGCAGCGGATCAAAAATTGTCTTGCTTTTTTATTGTGCCTCTAAATGTGAGATCATCTTTTTTGGGAACGAAGAAGGAGCTTTCGTTATTGGCCGTGACGTGCGTGCCTGTGTGCGTCTGTCTGTGTTGGACCCTTTGACAAGTTACACGGAGGGAAAAAACAAAAAAAATCCCTTTGTTCATTACCACGATTCTATTTCTTGCCTGTGATGGAAATTTTTCCAGTGACTAAATGCCGATGTCAATGTCTGCTAAGCCATGAGAGCGCTTCAGGAAGAAGGTTGACGGAGTTTTGTTCTCCCGCCTTTGCAGCTGCGCAGACCACAGCGGTTTAATATATATGGCCCACAGTTTGAGTGACATGGCCACAGTCTCATAGTCGCACTGTGGCCATATGTCTTAATGCATCTCCTGTGTCTCTCTGTCTCTGAGTTTACTGTGCGGTCCATACGTTTGGGTTGCATGCCCACAATCGCGCTCCTGTGTCTTGTGTCTCCGCTCACTAATTTAACACCCGTGAATGAGGATGGGCACAAGTGGCCTGTTAGCGTTCTTATGCGGATGATGGTTACACCGGTGTCTTCGAGGAGGAATGTGAAAGGCAGGAGGTTCGATGTTTTGGTCTCGACTGAGCCGTTTATTCTGGACGTCTGCTTTGTTCCACTCTTTTGCACTACTGACGAGTGCTCACAACGGATTATGTTTTGTGCAAGACTTTAATCTCTTTTAATAAAATAAAAAAACAATGTTAAAACGGTTGCAAGTTCAGTTTTAGATGAAAAGCTTGCCATGCGGAATTGCTTACGATTAAGTGCATCCGATTTGTGCTCGGATGTAATTGCCGCTTATCCATAATGGAAAATCCATACTGGCTTGAGCATGGCTGTAAGGAAGAGAATGCAGAGCAGCTAAGAGTAAAACGCCACTTCCATGAAGGCGGTACAATTTGCTTGCAAAGGTGATGATGCTCACTGCGTAGACTGGCTTGGCAGCTTGCTTCACCGGTCATTGTAGCGACTGTCAACACGTTGATGTAACCCAGGTCACCTCTGAAAAAGGATCAAATGTGCATCGCGTGTCGCTACGGGCCTGTTTTCCATCTCTTGGTTAAATCTAAGGATACTTCTACGACTACGGTGTTAAAACCCTTCAATGCATCGAGCGATACTATGAAGGGGGCGCCGTGGTGGTGAGATGTTAACTACCTCGCCTGGTATACATTTTTTCTTCCCGCATTTAGAATAGACGTGCGTTTGTGGAGTATTTGGTTTCTATAAATTTCCACGTGATAAGCCACTTTGTTGATCTACCATTTGTGGCCAGGTTGCTTCTGAAAAAGAGTTATATAGCTTCAGTGGGCCTTACCTGGTAAAATAAAGATAGCTTTAGTTTAGAAGGGAGATTTAATATAATTGTCTACCCTACTTGTTGCGCCACCTGTTAAGAGGCGCACCCCGTTGCCGTACTAACGGGTGCCCGGCGGACACTTGGCGCAAGTCCCACTCGGTGCCGCTCCGACGACCAACCCGGGTTTACAGGCACGCAGCACCACCGCCACCACCGCCACGCCAGCTAGGGTGCGGCCGGTGCGAGATTGACGGTTTAATTTTGAGATGCGCACGGTTCGGGGAACGACGCCGGACACATGTGGGGTCTCCTGCATTCGCATCTGCGACCGTGGTTTTTTTTTTCTATATATAGCTTTAGGCCGAGTGCACCTTATGCGCCAGTGCCCACCCCGTTTAAAACCCACGGCCCTCGGGCTCGCTGGGCAAGTCGGGGATGTGCTCGAGCACGCGCTTGCCTGGGCGTGTGTCTGACTTCGCCCAGACAAGTCACAACACATCCTATCTCAAAGACCTGCCCGTCGCACCCCCCCACCACCACCGCCACCCCCTCAATTCCCCCCCCTGAGCGCCCCCCCCACCCTCTTCCAAGCAGCAGAGCCGAGTCCGCCTTGTGGAGCTGAAGCACAATCTGCGATTGTCCACAATCGTCGTCGTCGCCAAACGCTGCCTCCCATAAATAGAATGTGGATTTGGTGGGTCGTTTTTTCCTTCGCTTTGCAGCGACGGCAAAGGCTTTGCAGCAACCAACGTGGACTTGAATTGTCGGTGCCGCCGGTGCTCCTGCTAGTGCCAGCACCGCTACAGAACTATTAATACGACACAGGTCAATGCCACCAATACTACTGCTGCTACAATTACAACTACTCGCAAAGTTAGTGTAACTTTATGCAATACGGTAGTTACAACTACCACCACAACTTCCACTGATACTACGACTATGGTTAGCACTACTGTAAGAAATATTATCACCAGTGTGGTACTATTACTACGAATAGCAACATTCCTGTGACTGACTACAGTAAAAGTCCTATCGTTTTTCCTGTTATATGTACCCCTGAATCAATCTACACAGAATCCGTACGAATAATCCATCCAAACTCCAAAGGGAGTTTTCAGATGATCTTGCCAATGACAACAACCTACCCATCAACCCAGACCTCAGCGATGTGTCTTGCCGCTGACTCGAAGTCCCGAATCCCCCTTCTGGGCTCGCGCTCCTGCTACCTGCTGTCTCCTGCTGCCTCGTGCTGTCTCCTGCTGCCTCGTGCTGTCTCGTGCTGTCTCCTGCTGTCTCGTGCTGCCTCGTGCTGTCTCCTGCTGCCTCGTGCTGTCTCCTGCTGTCTCCTGCTGCCTCGTGCTGTCTCCTGCTGCCTCGTGCTGCCTCGTGCTGCCTCCTGCTGCCTCGTGCTGCCTCGTGCTGTCTCCTGCTGCCTCGTGCTGTCTCCTGCTGTCTCCTGCTGCCTCGTGCTGTCTCCTGCTACCTCGTGCTGCCTCGTGCTGCCTCCTGCTGCCTCGTGCTGCCTCGTGCTGCCTCCTGCTGCCTCGTGCTGTCTCCTGCTGCCTCGTGCTGCCTCGTGCTGCCTCCTGATACCTCGTGCTGCCTCGTGCTGCCTCCTGATACCTCGTGCTGTCTCCTGCTGCCTCCTGCTGCTACCTGCTGCCTCGTGCTGCCTCCTGCTGCCTCGTGCTGTCTCCTGCTGCCTCGTGCTGCCTCGTGCTACCTCCTGCTGCCTCGTGCTGTCTCCTGCTGCTTCGTGCTGTCTCCTGCTGTCTCCTGCTGTCTCCTGCTGCCTCGTGCTGCCTCGTGCTGCCTCGTGCTGCCTCGTGCTGCCTCGTGCTGCCTCGTGCTGCCTCGTGCTGCCTCGTGCTGCCTCCTGCTGCCTCCTGCTGCCTCGTGCTGTCTCCTGCTGCCTCCTGCTGCCTCGTGCTGTCTCCTGCTGCCTCCTGCTGCTACCTGCTGCCTCGTGCTGCCTCGTGCTGTCTCGTGCTGCCTCGTGCTGCCTCCTGCTGCCTCGTGCTGCCTCCTGCTGCCTCCTGCTGCCTCGTGCTGCCTCGTGCTGTCTCCTGCTGCGTCGTGCTGCCTCGTGCTGTCTCCTGCTGCCTCCTGCTGCTACCTGCTGCCGCTGCCGTCGCCGTCCTAGAATCTCACCCAGACTCGGAACAACGCGGGCATTCAGAATCGATGCTCAATTCGAGAGCCAAACGTCATCGCACCCTCCTAGCTTTGACGTTCCTCGAAGGTACCGGTTTGTAACCATCAACAGTCGCGTCAGAACAACAACAACAACAGGGCTGGATAAGCTCGTATAATAGCAACTGTCCCTAGCACTACCCCCAAGAGAAGACGCATTCCACTGAGGCGGTATTATCACGACCGCTGCAACCCGTCGCCACAAATCCGAGCATCTATTCCTGTCCGTCAACACCGTCGTTGGCCACGGTGAAACGTCAGTGTGACGCTTTTCAGGAAACCCGCCCAACGGAATGTTAGACGTGGGGAAACGTTAATCCAGGGAACACTTTTCGTGCGGTGTGTCGATGGGGATTTTTTTGTTGGCGCTTTAAAAACGGGACGTTAGAAACGCGGAAATGTACAAATTGGGAGCGTGCTCGCAAGGTTGCGGTGTGCCGCATCTGGAACGCTCTTCCTTCCGATGTTAGGAAGCCACTGCAGCTGTGCACTTTTAAAGCATCATGCTTGACAAAGTCATTTCTTTCTGTGTTTAGCTTGTTGTCCTTCCCTACCCGCACCTCTGATTAGCACAATTGGCTACGTACGGAGCGAAATAAGTTAAACATACATACATACACGGATGCGTGCTGTTATTGCCATTACCGCTACCACCACCACTCGCACATGCCGCAACTGCCACCAACACGTGCCGCTATCGTATTCTCCAGATCATAAGATGCTCCAGAAAGTTAAAAGGCACATTGCAGCGAGAAACTGAAATTCACGCTTTACTTACGCTGTTCCCTGAGCCTATAAAGTAATGCAAATCTGGTCTTGCACACCTACCAGATTGTAAGGTGCACGCTCAACTGTCGCTTTATAATGCCGAAAAAATATTTGCCTTATGATCTGTATTTATCGATGTATGTTGCACTTCCTTCGCACCGTACGTAGCCAACCGTAATAATTGGAGAATTCGGGGAGGGGGTGGGGGGGGGGACAACAAACTAAACACAAAAAGCAGTTCTAAAGAAATGAATTTTAAATGTAGGTGATTTAAAAGTGCATAGCTCCAGTGGCTTCCCAATCCGGAGAATACGCCAGAAAATGACCGCAAATTGTAGTCGCGGTATACTATCAACGCGATGCTGTCAACGCCAACGTTGACCACATGGACGACAGTGCCGTGACTGCCACCGCTTCTGAGACCGCTGCTGATGCTGTTGCCGCTACCGCCGGGCAGGCCTGTTGTTCACGGCGCCGTTGCCAGCAGCTATCGGTGCTCCGACCTCCGCGAGTACCGCTCATACTGCCGCTCTTGGTTCTTTGTTGCTGCTGCTGCTGCTGCCATTCCCACAACTGCCGCTGTGTCTGCGCTGTGTTGTGTGTGGGGGCTGTTTTTTTTTCTTTCTCCCTTTTACAAAACTCTCACCAGACCTCTCGTGTGCCCAGCCGGCTGCCCCTTAGCGCCACTAACACCAAAGTCTTTGTGCTAACCCTTGCCAGCCGAAAGTTTCTGCTGGGGTTAAATGCGCGTGCGCACACACGCACCGAACATACATACATACCAGCATACACGTGCATAGACAAAAGACAAAGGATTCCCATTTAGCCTTGTAGGACCAGACGAGCAATTGCTGTTTGGCGAACGTTTACTCGGAGGCGGTGTCAGGGACTACTGCACCCGGCTGACCAACCATGTTGGCCATCCGAGGCGTGAGTCGACCAACGGGAGGCTGGGGGACTGGGTCGGGGGGGGATACGACGTGCCGTGGCCAGAGATCGAACACCGGGTCGCCGGGTTGTTGCGGCACAGTGCGCCAACCGCCGCACCACCGCCGCACCACCGCTCGCTCTCAAGTCCACGTCAAACGTGACGGCGGCCAACATTCGTCACAAATTGGTGGTGGACCTCACGGGTGCACCTGTTCAAGGGCTGGTGCGCTTTGGGGCCGCGCTGAGTAGGAAAGTATCGGCGGATAGGTGGTAGGGTAGCGGTGTATGCAGCTAATGAAGGCCGGCACGGCGCACGAGGGGGCGCGTGGCCAACGCCACGTCCGGCCGCCTTTGTCTACCCAGTGGCGATGTTCACACACCACACCAGGTAATTAATTTGAGGCTGAGTCGACCTAGAGGAAGCCCAGGACCGGTTCAGATAATCGTCACTGGTGTTGGCTGCCGCGGAAATCGAACTCGGGCCACCGGGTTCGTGATGCGGCGGTTATCGTGTGCTGCACTACGAACCGCTCCCCAGTACACACGTTACAAATTGTGAGACTGCGGGGTTGTTTTTTTTTTTAAAGAGGAGAGGGCGAGTCCGTCGCCCTGTAAACAGCCGTGTGTGCGTTTGTGTGTGAATGTTGTAAGCTGCCAGCCGGGGCACGTCGTGAGCGAGTGCGCACGTGCGCGCACGCGGTAATCCGTGCGCAGCAGGATGTTCGGACCCCCGGGGCTGCTCTCTCCCGAGTGTCTATCTGCCCGGCTGTCTGCCCGCGGTGTCTAATTGCATCTGTCGGGTTCTTGTCCGTGTGTCTGCGCGTGACCGATCGCAACCGCCCACGTCGGATCGCGCCAGTCCTCGTCTCTGCCCGTTGGCCCGCTTGTCACCCACCTCTCGCTCTCTGGCCCTGCATGTCTGTGCGTGCGTGTGGTGTTGTTTCAACCCGTGTCTCTGCGGCGGTGGTTACACGTGCGCTTGTCCTTGGTGTATTTGCGGCGGGTGGGGGGGGGGTTGGTAGCGTAGTTGTTGGCGCACTGCGCTATGAACTCGGCGACCCCGAGTTAAGAATCGGAATCTTTATTTATCCTGTAGGGATCCGATGAGCTTCGAAGCTGTCAAGTAGGGGTGGGTTAGCAAGTTACAACAACAACAAATGATACAAAAATACGATCTGGTAAGCAAGTTGCTAAAAACAATGATGAATAAAATTATTCCTGCCGAGTCCAATTCTCGCTCACGCCCAACACCGGTGACGAGTATCTTAACTGGTCCTGGGCCTCCCCTAGGTCGACTCGGCCTCAAATGAGTACCTGGTACAGTGTGTAAACATCGCCACTGGGGAGACAAAGACGTCCGGGTATGGTGCTGGTCACCCACCCCACACTCGTGTACTGTGCTGGCCTCCATAAATGCTCGCTAACAGCACTGTGCCCCACCAGACTGTGAAGGCTACACGGGGGACCTTTGTCTTTGTTGCAGCGAACACAGCAAGATGACTGCCAACCGCACGGACCAGATGCAGGCGTTCTCATGGATTCGCCAGCATCTGGAGGAGCACAACGACACGTCCCTGCCCAAGCAGGAGGTGTACGACGAGTACAAGTAGGCTGCTCCCCGCCCCCCGCCGCTGCCGATCGATCGTTCTTAAAGCCCCGGGCCCCCCACACCTTGGAAGCGATCGGTCGCGCAAAAAACAAGCCGCTCTCGAAAGATTCGTTAATTTTCGCCTGCGGCCGCTTTGCAACCGACATCCGAGCCAACAGTTGCGCAGCGAGGAAGTCGCTCGGCGCATTCGGGGATTGCAAAACGACCAATCCCGTGTGGCAAATGTTCGGCACGTGATGAAACAAATCGCTGAGCAGATCAATGCTTGAAGGTCGAGCTTCTCTCTCTCTCTCCAATGCAAGCAACTGGTTGCGCGCCTGCTCGCAACCGGTTGCAGAGACATCCGCACGTAAGCGATTCAGTTGCATGCGACTGTATCCGTCGGGCGTGGGGCGAGGTTCGCCCCTCAAGCCAGTTGGTGAAATTCCACATTTGCATGGTGTGGCCAGTCTCTCTACAACACAGTAAAAACCACCGGTGTTCATTTTACTGCCAAGGGCTCCTCAGTTTCTCTGTGCCCATGCCGCTGCCCACTGGTCGCTTGGTTAACCTTGGGGGGGGGGGGGGGGAGGGGGGGTGCCACGGTAGCAAAATGTTAACTACCTCGCCTCGTATACAGGAGTTTGTGGATTCGATCCCGATCCTGACCCCTGTGTATTTGGAGTTTGCGTCTTCCCCCCGTGGTCACGTGGATTTTTCTCTGGGTCCTCCGTTTTTTTCCCTCCACCATTATTATCAACGTCACATGTTCATGGTATACATTTTTACATCGATAAAAGCCACTTCGTCGACCTATCATTTGTGGCCAGGTCGTTTCTGAAAGAGAGCTACATCGCTTAGCCGGCCTTATACCTGGTTTATAATGAAAAATAGTTTAGTTTATAGTTTAACCTTAAAGATTATCAGTTCCTGTTGGGGTCGCAGAACGTGTTGCCACATGACTTTTCACCCCCACCACCCACTACCCATGAACCCTCCCTGTCTTCTCTGCATCTCATCGCGAGCTGCAGATAATTTTAGCAACAGTTAAAATGACAAATAAATAATAATGTATTTTACTCGCATAAAGCCTCCAGACGGCCAAGAAACTTTACGTAACTAAACTTTCTTGTCGTCACCTGCAAACGGCCACTCGTGTTAGCAGGAGACTCGCCCGCCTACGGAATTGTAACTTGCATACTCCCCGTTCATTTTAACAAGGTGAGAACTCTTAAAAAGAGACCAGGATAGTCTCAGTTTGCAAGATTGACCTGCGCCTGCCAAATGTCAAAAAAAGGAATGAAACGAAGTACAGCGAAGAAAATAACAACAAGAAAAATCAGTCGCACGTTTTAACCACGATGCTAGGTGGCTGGATCATGTGTTGCTCGCGCAATACCCCACAACGCCCTTCCCATGGGCACCGAGGAGGGTGTCATACCCTTGGCTTGCCAGCAGAATGCCATACGGCAAAGTGTAGACCGATATCATCCATCACTTCTTGTACGGGCTAAGGCGTTGCCCCCCTTGCATGCGTGGTTTTTTTTCCTGGGTTTTCTCCACTTTCCTTCCACGTGTATAGTGAGCACTAATTGGCTGAAAACTGCTTTTCTGTATAGAGATCTGCAGGGCAATTGTTGGCAGTGCTGGCGGCCTTCCAGCCCATCCGTGGCTTCTCACCAATTGTGAGACACAATTTGCACGAACGACGACAACGCGACCTAAAACTAATCGTGATATATTTGATATCTGACGCACGTCGTCCGCTCTCTCCCTGACAGGGGATACTGCGAAAACCTCGGCCACCGGTTCCTGAGTGCGGCCGATTTTGGGAAGCTCATGAAGAACGTCTTCCCGAATATGAAGGCTCGCCGCCTCGGCACACGCGGCAACTCCAAATATCCTTGCCAACGCTGGCTCACTCGCTACCTCGCCGGTTCACTCGCTCGCCCGCTCACTGGCTCGCTCTGCTCACTCGCTAACTGGCTCATTTACTCACGTGCTCCTTCGCCGGTCAACTCACTCCCTCACTGGTTCGCTCGCTCACTCACTCACTCACTGGCTCATTCGCTCACTCGCTTACTGGCTCATTCACTCGCTCCTTCGCCGGTTGACTCACTCCCTCACTGGCTCGCTTGCTCACTCGCTTACTGGCTCATTCGCTCGCTTACTCCTTCGCCGTGTTCGCCCGCTCACCGGCTCGCTCACTCACTCTCACTGGCTCACTCTCTCGCTTTCTGGATCATTCACTCTCTCACTCACTCGCTTGTTTTCACTCCCATACACCAGCCCGCTTTACCCGAGGCCACTCCTTGTAAGATCTCACGAGAATCGAGCTTAATGCCACAGCTGCAAATACATCTATCACGCACTTAAGTGATGTGTCGCCAAAGAGGATGTTGTGAGACCCGGTGGTGCCGCTCGTCTCCGCTGTACACCGGAGTTTGTTGTCTCGACATTGGTGACCGTCGTTCGGCGGCATGAAGTGCTCGCAGACCCAACGTCGCCGGCGGCCGTATGCGACCCCCACTCGCCGTGCGTTGACCTTAATCGCGAGCCACGTACTGCTACAGCGGGCTCAGGAAGAAGGCTCTCGTGCAGACGCCGTCCCTGCCTAGCCTCGAGGTTGGCAAGAAGGGAGACCCGGTGAGTGCCCTCTGCCTGCCATGTACTTGGTTGCCGTTATGCACCTGCGATTAGCACGGTTGGCTATGTACGGTGCGAAAGAAGTTTCAGCATACAGTATATACCCGTTCCGTCAAACCGGCCTCAAATGGGTACCGGGTTGGTTGTGACAACATCGGCAATTAGGGGACGCAGGGAGTCGGCGTGTTGCTGGCCACACCACCGCCTTGCGTGCCGTTCCACGGCCTTATCGCGGTGGAGGGGGAGATGTTATCTCTCTCGCCAGGTACACATGAGGACGTGGGTTCGACCCCGGACCCTGACGAAGTCTGTACAGTATATTTGGAGTTCGCGTGTTCTCTCTCTCTCCCCCGCGGCGGTCGTCTGGATTGCTCTCCGGGTCCTCTGATTTCGCCCACCCGTCCCCCGACCCATCAGAACGAGTGCAGCGACGGTGGCGCTGGCGGCGCCGGCGGCCAGGCCGAGTGCCTGGAGCAGCAGATCGTGGGGGCGGCCTGCAGCCTGGTGTGCGAGTGGGCCCAGAAGGTGCTGAGCCGGCAGTTCGACACGCTGCTCGACCTCGCGCAGTACCTCGTCAACAACAGCTGCGTGCCGCGCAAAACGTCCTACGCCCTCGTCGTCATGTCGCCCTCCGCAGCCGGTGAGGCACCCCCTTCCGCTTTCAACCTCCAGCCTCCACCGCCACCTCCGCTCCCCCTTACTCTTACACCTTGGCAACACCGCCCGCACCTTTGTATCGCGAATAGGCATGCAACGACTCGCCCCCTCTCCTTCCTTCCGGCGTTCGATGATTTGACACAAGTCGATGATCGGTTCTGATTTTTTGTCGCACGGGTATTGTCTCGCCCGTACATTCCGTCTTGGTTGTGTTGAGTTTGCCAGAAGGCAACGCAGGGTACGTCATTTGTGTGCACAATTATTAAAATAAAATGAGTGGTCTCGACAATGGATTGTTACGCCCGCGATCCAACCCAGGTGTCGCGAGCGTAAAATAGTAGTTTTTAATCGGCGAGTTCGTTCGTACGCACGTACATACGTTGAACTTCTTTCGCACCGTACGTAGCCAAACCCGGCTAATCGGAGTCGCGTGGCTAGTCCGCCATCGCTTTGACTAAAATGTTTTCACGATCAATCAGCTGCAATTCTCAAGAGGACCGTTGCCTCCCGTTCACCATAGGAATGTGGAATTTCAATCGCAAACTCGGGGCTGTAAACAGGAAATGAGCACCCGCTCCCTCCATGCTCGTTGGAGCAAGAAACCCGCTCCGAGTTGTTTACATTAATGGCAGCGACCAGCGCTGGATTAAGGTTCTTGTAGGCCCCTGGGCACTTCTGTTTCGTAGGCCTTCGGTGCTAACTTTCTACAGATGGCTACTGCTGTCCCATGTTACTGCTGACGCCACTGTCACTCGCTAAAGCAGATTAAAAAAAAAAAGCTGTCTCCGATCAACCTCAGGACAACAACGCCGCCTTGTCTTCCCTTGCACTGGTCTCTATTGAGAATGAGGTTGTGTGAAAAACACCATTTGAAGCTGTTCTTGCTCATTTTGCAATTTAAAAAAATCTCGAAAAGTTGATCTCTGGTGTTCATTTCTCTCTCGCCTTATGAGAAAAATGAAAACGATTGGCATGACTCTGCCTCTTTGTATACACACTGCGCTTATCCTTGCTATAAATATATTGATTCAAGAAGATATATTGGTTTTAAAAAAATGTGTCATACAAATAACAAAACGTGGTCAACATTTTTTTTTCGAAGGCCCTTTAGTTTTCGTAGGCACTGTGCCTATTGAAAAATATGGCCCTGGTGTGTTGGCAAAGGTGGGTGCTGTGGGGTAGAGCGCCCCTCGCACTCGCAAGGTTGTGCGAGTTGTCATTCCCGTCAGGAGCCAACTCGGCTCACCATCTACTCTGGTGGGCAGTGAGAATGACCACCACTACCATTGGCACATTAACGTTGCGTTTGCTGTGTGAATGCTCAGGCTCCTGCCACACCAGTGTGGACAGAGGTAAGCCTCGCACCCATTGCTCTGTTGAGCGGGGAGAGCCTCTCGGCTCTGAATCCAATGGGCGCATTGCCACAAAGAGTTTAATGTTGACCTCTTCCCGGTACTTGATTTGAATGGCATCGCTTGTCCCCCGCGCCCCTAGAGGTGCTTTTGTTTTGTAGACGCGACGTGAAAATTAACTCGTCCTGTGTGGTGTGGGCTTCCGTCACAATCGTATTGAGCCAGCACTGCTGAGATTCGCGGGTTATGAAACCGCCAGCATCCTAAACCAAAGGTTAGGGCCCAGTTCTCTAATCGTATTGAGGGCGACGGTTTCAGAACGGTCAACAGTAGGACTGCTGCAAAAAAAAATGTTTTGAGCGAACCGGCAATGCGATCAATGTTGCCTCCTACCTCTGATGAGGGATTACCGGTTTCTTATTTGATCCCCTCCCCCCCGTTGTGAACAATCGACCACTTGCTGCTGAACGAGAGCCTGGTCTTGCGGCTCTGCTCGGCTGTTCTATTAAAGGACCTCTGAGGTGTTCGCCGTCACTCGTGGGATGTTTCACGGTGGCACGTGTGTGGCTCTGAGGAGCGTCGAGGGTTTGCTGCAGCGGAAAGATGCCTCCACTCTTTCCGAGCGTAAACAACGACGCACTGCGGTACTGCTGGACTTCCTGCGATCGCGAACGGTATTCACGATGATGTTTGTGACCGAGTGGACATTCTAATTGGGTTATTGAAGGACCCTAAAGCTGAGATCTTTCACAAGTAAAGTCAATGCTGCGATGATTACGAATACAATCTTAAAACACCGTAGCTTTTTCTAATTTCATCCCTCGACATGGACGGCCAACAATTTAATTGGTTTCCCTCTTAGGGCAGGGCGCAGCCTCACGTGCTGTGCTGCGTTGCGTCTCGTGCTCACACTTAGGAATCATAATCTTTATTTGTACTGGAAGAATCCGATGAGCTACAAAGCTCTTTTTCACAGATGTCTGGTCGGGGCACGGGGTAAGAACGTTATAGCAACAAACAGTACACAAACATGATAGTAGTTCAAATCATCCAAACACATGAACATACAATTAAACCATCTCCATCCTACCAGGCAAAGCCCACTGAGGTATTAACTTATTGTTCAGAAGCGACCTGGCCACAAATGATAGCTCAACAAAGTAGACCGTCATTTGGACATTTATAGCAGCGAAATAGTCGAAATAATCTCAATTAATGTTTCTAAAATGTGGAGGGGAAAACTGTAGGACCCGGATAAAAAGTCCACGCAACCACGGAGAGAGACATGCAAACTCCAAATATACAGCAGGCGTCAGGGTCGGGATCGAACCCCTGACCTCCTGCATACCAGGCTAAGTAGTTAACATCTCGCAAAGTGTTCATGATCCAAGTCGCCGTGAACAAAGTAAATCCGCCTCCCATGGAGTGTGGACATTGAAGCCAAGAAGCTGGTTCAGAAGATCGTTGCTGACTGCCAAAAACTAAATAAATAAATCCTCTGTGGTTTCTATACCAGCGTAAATATTTGGTGACATTTGAACTGATAGAGAATGTCAAATTCAGTCAATCGTATTAAGTATTTTAATTTCAGTGATACATTTGAACAATATCATGTTAAAAAACAGACAGTGTTCAAATTAGCTGTCAGAGAACATTTTAAAATGGTGTACTGAACATCCTGTAATTGTAAATGTTTTTTTTCCGATGAAGACGTCTGGTGTGCCACCACCCTCACCTTGTTAGGGCGCTATTCTTGGCTCCGCGTTGGCCGATCCCCGCTGAATTACCCCGCTAGCAATAGACTCCTAAAACAGGAACGTTCGATAATCCAATACCAATCAACGCCGCAACAGCAAACTATTTCACTGTCAACTAAAAGGGAAACTTCAGTATGAACATCCATGAGGGATTTTTCTACCAAATTGAGCATGGGTAAGTAACCATCTCTTGTTTATAGCCCAGAGCCAGTGGTGGATAAAGGACATTCCACATTTCTAAAGCAGGGACAACAGTGGACTTCAGTGGTATTCATCGAGTGATTAGAGGGGGGCTTAGTGGATATCACGCAAATAATTGTCGTCAACAGTTCTAACGCGTGCGTGCGTGTACCGTACACTTGAAATTCGAATGTGTTTTGCCTGTCCCAGACAAACTTTGCCCAAGCCGCAGGAACGCCAGCTGCTCGTTAACAATAGCGAATACAGCAACCGCCTCGGGTTAGTTCCTGGCCTGCCCCCACCCCTCGGCCCACTGAGGCCAAAGGTTAAAGGTTAAAGGTGACGTGTTCCTAATGATTTTAGAGTGACCACGCAGAGTGTGTGCCAGTGGGTTCCATGGGAGGGGGAGCGGTCACGTGAGTTCGACTCCTGCTCACGGTCATGGCTCGCGACGATTATCTGAACCGGTCCTGGGCCTCCCCTAGGTTGACTCGGCCTCAAATTAGTACCTGGTGCAGTGTGTGAGCATCGCTACGAGGGAGACAAAGGTGGCCGGGCGTGGTGTTGGCCACCCACCCTCTCGTGTGCTGTGCCGGCCTTCATATGTGTTCGCCAAAAGCACTTGCCCCAACAGTCGGCGAAGGCTACACGGGGGATCTTTGTGTGCCATTTGTTGATTTACTTTACACGTTACTAACTTGGCTGCTTTTAAATTCGTAAGAAAGGTAGCTCTGACGGCTCGAGCAACACGATGAGGGCTCTTTAATCAATTTCGCTCGCCGGATTGCAAAGTCCCCGCCCGCTGTGCTCAGCGGTGATTGGAGTGACGGTGGAACAATGAAGCGCTCCTGCAGCTCTGATTAACATGGCTACGTACGGTGCGAAAGAAGTTCAACGTGCGTACATACAGCCCACAGAATAACACTGCGCCATCGACTCAACACCGCTCATTGACTCAACACTGGACCATAGACTCAACACCGCCCTTAGACTCAACACCGCTCATTGACTCAACACTGGACCATAGACTCAACACCGCCCATAGACTCAACACTGCCATAGACTCAATACCGCCCATAGACTCAACACCGCCCATAGACTCAACACCGCCCATAGACTCAACACCGCCGATAGACTCAACACCGCCCTTAGACTCAACACCGCCCATAGACTCAACACCGCCCTTAGACTCAGCACCGCCCATAGACTCAACACCGCCCATAGACTCAACACCGCCCTTAGACTCAACACCGCCCATAGACTCAACACCGCCCATAGACTCAACACCGCCCATAGACTCAACACCGCCCATAGACTCAACACCGCCCTTAGACTCAGCACCGCCCATAGACTCAGCACCGCCCATAGACTCAACACCGCCCATAGACTCAACACCGCCCATAGACTCAACACCGCCCATAGACTCAACACCGCCCATAGACTCAACACTGCCACTCCGATTAGCAAAGTTGGCTGCGTACGGTGCCAAAGAAGTCCAACTTGAGTACGTGCGTACAAGCTGAGATGGGGTTTTCATCATGCGTTGTCGATTTTTTTGTTTGCAACCAATCATATCCAACTGACCGCACCGATTCATCGTCGTGGGTTGCCGTGGAGCATTGTGGGTAAAAGAAATATAGGCAGAGCTCTGTTCTGCTTTTCCAAATATTATTAATACAAATATTATTAAGGTAATCGGCTCATGGCTTTCCCCGCACAGTATTATCACGTACAATGGCACTTGTTTACGCACGCAAACTCTCCACCGGTTTCAACCTCCTGGGTCCTGTCACGTTGCGACGATATATATTCCCGCATATCGACTCATCGTTTGCACGACCTTTGTGATTCAGTGTCTTAATTTTCGAATCTGTAGTTCGCCACGATAAGTGAAAGTGAAATAAATGAAGGAGAAAAAAAAGCGAATTTAACACGATGGCTTTGTGTTGTACAATCATTGTCGTGTCGAAGAGTCCATCAAAGTTTGTTCGCCGCAGAACAACCTTTGGAGTTTAACCTCACATGCGTGCGGAATGGCAGTTTCCAGTGATATTTTGTTTTTAAATCAAAATAAATCTCCCCGACTTGATAACAAATTCAGAATTTTTTAACCAAACATTTCGTGGTAAAAGTGCGAGATGCCACCCCGTGACTGTGAGCACCGTTCCCTTGCCCAGGGGATCTCTTGCCGAGCAGGGAGGCGACTCTCAGTGATCCTCCTCATCCCTCTTCCCTCCTCCTCCCTCATCATCCTCCCCCCTTCCTCCTCCTCCTAAGGTTTTTCCACTTGCTCATTTGCAATATTGACCATCGCGGCTGTGCTCGAACTAATGAAGTGACAAGCCCAGATTATATACTCGCAATGAGTTTTGTCGTGTAGTTATTGATGAATGGGCCGAGACCATCGACTCGCTCCATATAACGAGCTTGTTTAATCATTCGTCTGCCCGGGTTTAAACCCAGGCATGGCTGTGTGCACTGCCAAGGCCATTATTGAACCCCCTCCTGAGCCACCAAGCCAGCCCAGCTCCCTAAGTATTTGAAACGCATTCGTGCGGCACACAATGATCTATAAATTGGAGTCCATATCCTTGCAAATGGAGCAGCGTTACTGGGTGATGATGGAATTTGAATTGCCGTTGACGGGCATGATGATACTGCTTAGGCTGTCCGCCCTTGCGATGAATGCAGCAGTGAATGATTTATTAGCGAGCGCGCATCCTTTTGGGCCCACGACAACTCCCCATCAGCTGGAGAATGATCGGACATGTGTGGGCCAAGACAAAATGTAAAAACCATAATCGCAAAAAAGGTCAGGCTGCTATCTAAATAAAACCACTGTGCAGATTGCAACAGTGGATGAACTGGCGTATGGTTCATTGCTTTAGAGCTGCCAAATAAAACAGCTACATGCTCGGGTTTCCAAGTTGGTGGCTATCACGTACATTGATGGTCAAAAGCTTTTCCCAAAGGCTCGGTGAGCACAGCAAACCCTTAATATTCGCTGGTTTTATAATCGCGTTTTTTGCGTATTCGCGACGCATTCTTTGCAGCGCCGTTTGAAATTCGCCTGGATTGTGTGTTGCTCAAATATTCGTACCGTGCCTCGCTACAGCACGGGAGTGGCGTGGATCGTGAGAGCGTGAGAATTGTCCACGCGACTTTCGCCGCCCTCCCTCTCTCTCCGCTCCGCCTTCCACGCTCTTTACACGCGAGCGCTTGCATTCACAATGTTTTGGAATTACGCGCGGAGTTTACCAAATCGTTAACGTTCAAGTGACGGTGTCAGGGGCGAGCGTCGGGTTGGCAATTCAGTGTCGGGGACGAGCGTCGGGCGTGAGTGCCGTGGTCCGGGAGAGTAATGGAGATGGGGGGGGGTGGGTGTTGTTGTGTTGAGGTGAATTTGAAAGACTATCATGCACGATCAATAGAGAGCGATTCAGCATCCTTTGCTACAATAACAAGGGTGGAAATATTGTACAATTAGTTAAACAAAGAGAGAGTTATGACGCAGGACTGCAACCCAATTTTTTTCCCATAAAATCTACTTCTTGTCGAATGCGGTTTTCGCCCAAAACGCCATTTGCCAGGAACGTAACCAAGGTTTTCCTGTATTCACTTCCGCGTTTGTGATGTACTGATTGTATGTATGTGTGTTGAACTTCTTTCGCACCCTACGTAGCCAACCGTGCTAATCGGAGGTGCGGGGGAAGGGCAACAAACTAAACACAAAAAGCAGTTATAGTTTGTTGTTCTTCCCCGCACGTCCGATTGAGTTGAACAGTTGCTGGAATAAGTTCTCTCTTCTTTCTCCGCATTTTTTGTTTCCGTGGGCCCTGCCAAGCAGGCCTCAAGCACTCCTCCCTGTGCCAGCCGTCGGCGTTCTTCAAGCCGTCCGATGGCTCCACGATCCAGCTGGGCGCCGTGCCCGGCGCTGGGCTGACTGTCGCGGCGGGAGGAGGAGGAGGTGGTGGTGGCAGTGCCGCCATCGGGAGCGACGCCAAGCAGCAGTTGCAGCGCAAGATTCAGCAGAACTCTCTCAAGCGGCAGCAGGAGCCTAAGCAGCAGCTGACTGTGACAAATGCATCGCTGGTAAGTAGCCTTGTGGCACTTACCCCGCACCTCCGATTAGCACGGCTGGCTACGTACGGTACAAAAGAAGGGGTTTTATCAGTCCACCCGTGACTTTGTCAAGTGTCTCAGTACCCTTGTGAAGATGCGACAGTTTAGTCCATTGTCCCTACATATATGGCAGGACCGTAATTGAATGGTTGTGTGCCTAGTAGTAGAGTTGTTCATCGATTGTCGTGTGTTCAGTAATCGTTTTCGGAATCTATAGATTACAGAAATCATGGAATCGGTAGTTTGATTCGGTTTAATTGCAGCAATGATTGAACCGATTTTGGCACACGCGAGCATTCAACCCGCACGTCCCCGCGTGTGCCACCCGGCAGCAGTCGTTAGTCACCAGCGGCACCGCGTGATACGTTCAAACAGCAGGCATAAACAAAGACAAATGTCCCCTGTATAGCCTTAACAGACCGTTGGGGCAAGTGCTATTAGCGAGGACCTAATGATGGCCAACACTGTACCACACGTGGGGGTGGGTGGCCAGCGCCTCGCTCGGCTGCCTTTTGTCTCCTCAGTGGCGATCTTTACACGTGGTACAAGGTACTCATTTGAGGCTGAGTCGACCTAGGTGGAAGCCAAGGACTGGTTCAGAAAATGGTCGTCGGTGAGCAGGAACCAAACTCGGGTCGCCGGGTTCATAGCGCAGCGAGCTAACCGCTACACACAGGCTGGACTCAACCTTCTTTTTGCTTTTGCATAACGATAAAAAAAATACTGAAATTAACAACCATCGTGCCGAGTGATATAAATAATACAAAAATACAAAATATGCATTTGTGTAAGGTGCATTTCACCCTTGGGTCCCAATGCGCCCTGTGTTTGGAAAGCAGGAAATAAATAGAACCCACAGGGTAAATGGCCAGAACTAGGGGGTGAAGGCCAGTTTAAAGAGGTGAATGTTCAAGACCGACTTGGACATATCTCCCAATTCTGATTGTTTTACTTGCAAAGGCAGAGAGCGTTGCAGAGCTTGGGAGCCGCACTGGAAAAAGGCCGATCACCCCAGGAAATGGTTCCTTGACCTCGGAGACCTTAAGAGGAATGGGCGATTTGAACATCTCGCGGACCTCGCTGGAGATTAAAACGTTATCCAGTTCCTGTGATAAACATTGTGGAGCATAAGCACTGCCACTGCGTGTCGACAGAAGGTGGGCGGTGGTAGTGGTGGTGGCGGCGGCGTGGGGGCACAGCCCAGGACGAGGACCCCGCAGGTGACCGCCGCGGTGGCCCAGCCCGCGCCGGCGGCGGCGGTGCCGGCCGGGCACGCGGCCGGCACCGCAGAGACCTCGCTGGCGGCGAAGGGGCGGCCTCCGCCGGGCGACGTTGGCGTGCGCGCCACCTGCGGCGTCGTCAACAACGCCACCTGCGCCAGCCCGATGATGCTGTCGCCGTCCATCAACTTCGTGCTCACCGCCATCCCCAATAACTTCCAGGTGACGCTCGGGGGAGCGCGTCGCACCCGCCGCCCTTTATGGGGAGGGTGGGGGTCACGAGGGCAGGGCGCCAGAGTGGCCGGGTCGGGCTGGTGGGCGCCAAACCCACAGCACCCCAGCACTGTGGGTTTGTGGTGTTGGCGACGTGGTTTAAAGGTGTCGGGGCTAAAGTGTTAGGATCTGTCTTCTTTGGTTCTTTCGGTAAAGTCACGTAGAATGAGAATAAAATAATAAATTGATAAAATAAAATAACACAATAATATTCTCACGACGTTTCGGCCACAACACAAGCGGCCTTCATCAGGTGAAGGGAGCGAGACTGTCTGGTAGGACAGCTTAGGCTCCTGTTAGGATCTGGTCGGCTAGTTCGGTTCAGGCGAGGGATAAGCTGCGGGTACACCTGGGCTAGGGTTAGGCTACGGTGTGCTCCCATCTCCATCGTGGTATATTACTCTCTCCTGTAGCCGCGTATATGGGCTTTCCGCTATTGGTGCTGCAAGGTGATGGAACGTGAAGATGATCCAAAGTGTACTAAAATAGGCCACGTGCGTTCAGGCCAATGAAAACAATGCAACTGTTGAACGCTAAAATGTAAGGCCCGTTCGTTGTTGGTGGGTTGATTTAAGTGCTGTGTTATCCCCACGCATCTGTTAAGCACGTGGTCACAAGGTGAATTTTGATGTACCTATGCATATTGATGCAAAAACGCCATGTTGAGTGGAAACCCAAGGGTCATGATGACCAGCACTGGCGCTGAACTATACAAGCTCTTTTTTCAGAAGCGACCTGGCCATCACAAATAAATAACTCAACAAAGTCCTTGAACCCATCCCCAAGCTGTGTTCTCCTATCCCCGAAGCTCACTCTCATCTCTCCACTCCTTTTCCACAACCTCCCTGCCCTAAACCCCACAACCATCCCGCACCCCCTACCCCGCCCCCGATCTGCCTGCTGCAGGTAAAGTCCACCAAGTCTCTCGTGCCTCCGCAGAGCCCGGTCCACACTCCCGAAGCGAAGCGCCTTCCCCAGAACGTGCAGGTGGTCGCACAGCACATGCAGCTCGTCCAGCAGCAGCAGCAACAGCAGCAGCAGCAGCAGCAAAATAACGGCGGCAACGGCGGCACCAACGGCGCCGGCAGCAACGGCAGCGTGACGCCGTCCATCCTGTCGAGCAGCCCGATCGGAGACCGCCTGGGCAAACCGCGATACCCGCAGATCCTTCCCAAGCCGCTGGCGCCGGCGGGCTCGTCGGGCGGCTCCATTCAGATCAGCACGTCCACGACGGCCGTCATCCTGACGCGCAGCAGCCCCGTCAAGCCGCTGGTGGTGTCCTCGGCGTGCGGCGCCGCGGCCTTCTCGTCGTCCTCGTCGTCTCTGTCGTCGTGTTCCTCGTCCTCCTCCTCGTCCCCGTGCGTCGCCGCCTCCGTCGCCGCTTCGGCGCAGTCGCCCAAGCCGAACCACGGCGGCACGGCGCAGCAGCAGCAGCAGCAAATCGGCATCGTCAACATGATCGTGACGGCGGCGGCGGCGGTGGCGGCGCAGGGCAAGGCGCACACCGGCAACGCGCTCCGCATCGTGGAGTGCTCGGCCGGCGTTGGCGGCAGGGCCGAGGGTGCGTCCGGCTCCAGCTCGGCTCCGTGCTCGCGTGCCGCCACGCCCGGCGCGCCGAGGCCGGCGGAGGCGAATCGCGACGGCCCCTCGCCCGGCGGCGCCGAGCAGAAGCGCACGCTCGTGCCGCGGCCGGCGTCGCGGGCGCTGCCCGCCTGGGCGGAGAGGGACAAGGCGTCGGCCGGCGTCGCCGCCGCCTCCCCCGTTGAGGAGGAGCGGCGGGGGGCCGTGGGACAGCCCAACGGGCCCCTGGCGGGCCGGCCCCCGTCGACCGGCGCCAAGAAGCAGTGCGGCGGAGCCGTGCGCAGGTCGCCCACGGTGAAGGCGACGGCCCGGAGGAGCGCGCCGAAGAGTCCGCGCAAGCGCCTCACGGAGCCGATGAACTTACAGCAGCAGGCGTCGCCGGTCAAGCGAGCCATGCGCGCGTGGGCCGCGCCCGCGGACGGCGGCAGCGGCGGCACGGCACAGGATGGTGCAGACATCCCCGTGGCCAACAACGCCAGCGCACCCGCTGCCGCTGCTGCCGCCGCTGCCGCCGCTGCTGCAACCACCACCTGCCCCTCGCCCAGCGTAGCGCCGGGTGGCGGCACTGGCGGCAGCGGCGGCGGCAGAGCGGCCGTGCCGTTGGCGGTCTCCGTGTCGCAGCAGGACGACGCGTCTCGCGGCGAGGCGGCCGGCGCGGGGAACCTGAAGCGAGAGTCCGCGGAGGCGCCGTCGCCGCCGCCGTCGCAGCCCAAGGTGCAGAAGGTGCTGTCGCCGGAGCCTGCGCCGGCCGCTTCGGCGCAGCCCTGCAGCCCGGCCCGGGACGAGAACCTCCGGCTGGCCGAGCCGCACGACCAAACGGCGGCGGCCGCGGCGGCGGCGGCGGCGCTGCTGGCGGCCGTCGCATCGCGCAGCGCGTCGAGCAAGCTGTTCGAGACGCAGGCCGGCGCGGCGGGAGGAGCGTACGGGGGGGGCGGCTGGCCTTACCCGCACGGCGACGACGACGACGACAAGACGCGCGACAGCATCGTCGAGGAGCTGGTCGAGCTGGAGGAGCAGATGGCGCTGTCGAGCGCCGCGTCGCTCGCCTTCGGCGGCGCGGCGACGCCGTACGGCACGGGCGCCAGCACCACGCCGTGCCCGACCCCGACGCCCACGCCCACGCCGTCGCTCACGCCCACCCAGGAGCTGGTGTCGCTGCTGCAGGGGGCCGGCGCCGTCGGGACGCCGTGCTCGCGGCCCGGCTCGCGCATGCTGGTGGGGACGCCCGTGGAGGGGCCGGCCGCGATGGGCGGCGGCTGCGGCGGCGGCGGGGGGGGCGGCAGCGGCCACTCGAGCAGCTGCGGGGGTAGCGTGCCGCCCAGCCCCGTGGACGGCCGCCACTCCTTCATGTTCACGCCCATCAACTCCGGCGCCGGCGTCTACCCCAACGGCGGCGGCGGTGGCGGCGGCGCCGGCGCGGCGTCGAGCGGCGTCCCCAAGCCAATGCAGCGGCCCACGGCCACGCACGCCAGCCTGCCGTGGCTCAGCAAGCCTGAGGCTGGCGGCGGCGGCGGCGTGGCCCAGGGCCTGCTGGCGACGGACGGAGACGGCGCCAACATCCTGCCGAGCTACCAGGAGTCTCTGGACAACAAGTTCAGCAAGTCGCACGCGTTCGGCGTCCCAGGGATGTCGTCGGGAGCGCCGGCGCAGCGACAGTACCCCTGCGGCCAGGAGCCGATGTCGGAAGCGCATTTCTCCCTCTTGCACCACCAACAACAACAACAGCAGCAGCAGCAGCTGCACCGGCAGCTGCGGCCGTCGACAATGGTGCTGACCAACGGCGGCGGCGGGCGTGGCGCGAGCGGCACGAGCGCCAACCTGCACGAGTCGTTCGCCGTACCGGCGCCGCTCGACGGCAAGGGCTCGGCCGGCGGCGGCAACTGCTCCCTGCTCTACCGCTGCCAGCACAGTCCCGCGGCGCAGCGGCAGAGGAACCTGAGCGGCAGCCTGGGGCCCGTGCGAACCCGGCCCAGGCCCGGCGCGGCGGGCGGGGGGGCGCCCCTCGCGGCCCTCTTCAACCCGGAGGTGCACGCGGCGTTCGCGGACCGCGGGGCGGCCGGCGGCACGGGCGGCGGGGACGGCCCGGCCGGGGCGGCGGCGGGCCCCGGCCAGGCCGGACGCAGCCACTCGGTGCCTCTGTCGGTCATGATGCAGACGCCCTTCTCCGCGACGTGCAGCAAGCACACGCCGACGTCGCGCAAGATCGAGAACGTGCTGCTCAGCAAGCTGGAGGGGGCCGGCGGAGACGCGGGCCGTGGCATCGGCATCAACAGCCTCCCGTCCAACTACAGCGCGCGGCGCAATCTCACGCAGATGCTCGAGACGCCGCCGCCGCTGCTGCAGCACCAGCACCAACAGCACCAACAGCACCAGCAGCAGCACCAACAGCAGCAGCAGCAGCAGCACCAACAGCAGCAGCAGCCTGTCGTGCTGAGTCCTGGCCCCAGTCCCCACAGCCCCAGCCCGGTCGCCTTCAAATTTCAGGAGCACGGTCACCACCACCACCACCAGCATCACCATCTGCAACATCTGCTTCAACAGCGGCAGCAGCAACAGCTGCAGGGATTTTATCAGATGGGAGGCGGCGGACAGTGTCATGGGGTCACTGAGCAGAACTTGGCCGCCGCGCTTACCCCGACGCCGACGCCCACCCCCACCACCGGCTTCACCGCGACCGACGACGATGATCACGTCGCGGCCCCGGCATTCGCCGACTTCGTGTCGTCCCTTCAGGCCGATCCGGACGGGCAAGCGGAGCCGGACGGGCAAGCGGAGCCGGCCGCGGCGTGCGCCGAGATGTACGGCGGCGGCGGCGGCGGCGGCGGCGGCGGCAGCGACCCGGAGCGCGGCGTCGCCGACGGCGGCGGGAACGGCGACGGAAGCGACGACGGCGCGGCCAAAGCCGGAGCCGACTTCGTGACGGGCCTCGGCGGCATCGCCGACCTGGGCTCGAACCTGTTCTTCGAGCAGTGCAAGGCGAACTGCGCGGACGCGCCCGACGGCGAGACGACGATGGTCGACATCAACGACCCGATCTTCCAGGAGCTGTGCCTGGATCCCGGCGACGCCCTGAGCCCCGCCACGACGCAGGCAGTGGCCGCCTCGTCCTACGAGTGGATGGACGGCAAGACTCAGACTAGCATCGGCAGCATGTGACTTGCGGGGGCGAGGGGGTGCGGCGATGCCGTCGGGATGAGGAGGAGGAGGTTGTGTTGTCGTTGATCGTTGTTGGTTGTGGCGGGGGTGGGGGTGGCGAGGTTGGGACACCTCCACAGCAAGAGGGAGGCACCGTCCAAGACGAATTTTTAAATGCCCCCCTCCCCGAAGGCTTTGTTGCGCCAATACTGCACATTGAGCGTTTGTGTTGTCAGTTTAACTGCTGTCATTTGATGTATTTTACCTAGGGGGACAGACAGACTTGCTGAGTTTTTAGGAGTTGGAATACCGATTGGGATTTTGGTCAGTTTAGGGTTTCTTTTTTTTTAATTCAGTTGAAGTTGTTTTTACGTTTTGGTTTTTCTTGTGTCTTTACGAGAGAGGAAAGTCGACCGGTCCAGAACGAAAAACTAAACTCGCACATACGGTCGGAGAATCGCTGATGTCCGTACGCACAGTGGGCCGCGTCACACGGTGTTTAGCATCCAAATTACACAGAGAGCGGTGCACTTGTGAAACTATTAGCTTTGAATATCGGTGAATTCAACATTAGTTGCAGGCAACAATCTGGCATTTCTTCATTAATGTTAAATGTCCGTGGCACCATTTTCTGCAACTCTCCCTCGTCAGTCGGTTTAACACGCAGGCTTCACTTCACCCATTGTGCAAGGCACGTTCTCGGGAGAGAAGGGAGTCCTATCTAGGAGTAATTCATCGATCTTTATGAACACTCTTTGATGTCCAAGGAAATTGCAGTGCAAAGAGAGAGAGAGAGAAAACAAAGGAGGCGTGTCGATGCCCACGTTCAACTTTGCTCTCATCCCAATCTGATCCAGCAACGTGACCTCCGGAATAGTGGACGGCCATCCGGACGGTGAAGGCACGATTCTGCGACACGCACTTCTTTGCGCGTCGTAAACATCGGACGCGTCTTTTTTCATTTGGTGGAAGGGCACTCCACATCTCTCACCCGTTGCGCATTGTTAACCTGTTGGGCTTGGCCTGCAAACCTGGCTGGCCGGGTAGACGATGTGGGAGGGGTGAGATCGTGGCCGGGCCAGGTTATGCGCTGTCCACTGTGTTGGGGGGGAAGTTGTGAACCCTGTTGTGTAACGTCATTTTCGAAAATGAAGGCCCGTCGTGTTCTTTCAGATGTTTTGCATCGAATTCCATATCTTGAATCACGCGTTTCAAAAAAAAAAAAGAATATTGGTGCCCGTTTAACGTCGGATAGCCACAGGCATCTCCCCCGTCTTAAGTGGGACGTTCGTAACGAATCTCACCTGGTGAGGTAACGGACGAACAGTCGTTATTGCTGTCCGTAAAGGCTCGAACAACAAGGATGTGGTGTTAGTGAACCTGTGCACTGCATTCCCGCACGACACGAGTGCCTCCTGAAGTAAACGAAACAGCGAGAAAAACCTGCAAGAGCCACCATGGGCCACAGCTCCACGGCTGACTCCTGTAACTCAGCTGGCCATTTACAGACCTCGACTCCAATCTTCCCCTATTGTCCGAATCCGATAATAATTATAGCCGATTTAACTCGTAACGACACACTCCCCCGTTAATTTCCATTTTTAAGACGTCCATCGCCCTCCCATTCCCCCCCCCCCCCCCGTATGCGTGGTGAGATTGTGTTGTACACATCAACTGATAAACACAGCTTTTATATAGAGTAGGTTTTTAATTATGGTTTGGATTACGTGTATTATCATTTGTCAGGAAAAGCACAGCAGCAGCGGCAGCAGCCACGACTGCTGCTCGTAACGGAAAGCTCGCTGGGCGGCGGCCGCGTGTGGCCTGGCGTGGCACGAGGCCTTCCGGTGAACGTGGAGCCTCTTGGTGTCTTCGATGTTTGTTGTGCGAGTCCGGGGCTTTGGGCCACGTTGAGGGCAGTGACGAAGGAGGAGGAGGGGGTGGCGGCATTGCAGCCTTCGTGCCAGCTGATCGGAAGCTGAGCCGTTCGTCCTTCGAGTAAACGTTCCCACGGGGGCCGCAGCTGGCGACTGGCATTTGATGCTTGAGGCGTCCATCTTTAATCGTTTGTACATTTCAGTCGGTGGGACGATGTAAGATGGCCTTCCCCCCCACCCACACAGCGGTGTTATTATCTGCCACCTGTACGGAAAATAACTGCGATTCCACCCTAGAAGAACGATAATACATCTCGTGGCGGCTCAAGTGAATAGAGCATTGGGCCCGACCCTCCTTTCCGTCCACAGATGTGACCCAAAGCCCCCCCCCCCCCTCCCCGTCTCCTGCAACCGTGTTTGACCTTGATGCTCCCACAGCTTAAAAAACTCAGTCGCTACTGGCAACGAAAACACATTTTTTTAATGTTTTGTTTCTTTTATATAATATAAAGTGTCTCAGTACTTTTTTTTTTAATCTCCTTAGAGTTTAATAATCGTGACCTTGTTTTGTTTTTCATGTTAAACGTGAAATTTGCATACGGCAAAAAAATCATTATTTTGCACTAGTCATATTTGTAATTTGCCAAACGAAAAATGTTGCCATCGAGTTTTGTGTTGTTAGGTCACCGTGTACAGACTACTCTCCGTAGGTGTCACTTGGTGTTGTCGGGACACACCTGGCCGCTAACGCTGCAACGTTCACGGGCAGAAAATGCATTTCCAGGTGCTTCGCGTGAATTTGACCCTCTCTCTCTCCAACCTTTGAATTCAAGTGCAGCCGTTTCTAAATCTCATTTTTTAGAAAGTCGGGAGACATTTCGAGTGAAATTATCCAGCCTGAGACTGACCACTTCCATCGCTCTGACGGTGGTCCTGTGGATATATCATGCTGACAAATTCGCTTCTCCTCAAAAACCAGCGCGCACCTTGTGTTCAGATTTCAAGCGCTTTGAAGTCAATTTTTTTTACATTAAAAAAAATATATATACTAAACTGTCGAGGCGTTTTTTATTTGTTTAAGTGGCATTTGTGGCAGCAGCGGCGGCGGCACAAGTTAAACGTCATTGTCAATGATGCAAGCTGCAGGCGTACGAATATCAATTGTTAGCTGTCGTGTAGAGTTGGGTTGATAAAACACAGACATCTCGTGATAGACCCGCACATGTTCCACTTAGCAGCATCGTGCGTTAACTTTCATCGCCGTTAGCAGTTTGGCGTGGGAGCCACAGTTTCCCCAGGTCCCAAGAATGCCCTGTCATTTTTAACAGGGCATTGTGTACAAAATGCACCACGGGCTCCAGAGTGAGTGATACAAAGAAAAGACCCCGTTGCAATATTTGCAAGTCTGGTTTTCTATTTTTTTGTTGTTGTTGTTGTCGTCTTTCCCGGAGTCATTAGTGCAACCTTGACCCGTAAAATGTAACAGCGGCTGTACTCAATCAATAAACGAGACGGTTTATCCTGCATAAATAAGTTTGAAATCAACTTCATTTATGTATAAATATGACCGAACTCAAGGCAGTTGGGCTGCTGAAGATGAGGCTCTTCAAGCAACAACAACCCAGTGTGCTAGAACTCCTCTTATTTGCGGATGGCTTGCGGACATCCGTGAATAACGACGAGAATTTGCATTGTAAAGGGGGGGGGGGGGTGGGGGGGGGAGGCCGCCTTCTGTCGCATCGCACCACGACCATTTCGGTGTCCTGCTGCAGCCCAGCCCAAGGGGACCCCCCTCCCCAGTGGCAGCTGCCTCTACGCAGCGCAATGCGTACGCAGCAACGGCCTGCAAATGGGCACGAGCCTGCTGGTAGTGGGTGATGTTGCCACGCGCTATTACCCGATTTAAAGTAACTTAACGAATACATTTCCAAATCTGCCAAATTTGGACCCGTGGCATTGGCACACATGGCCTACTCCCGTGTCTAATGGCTGCGGTGGCTAGGAGATGCTAACGACCTCGCCTGGTATACAGGAAGTTGTGTGACGCCTGCTGTATATACAGGAGGTCGTGTGTCTCTCTCCCCGTGGTCGCGTGGATTCTTCTCCGGGTCCTCCGGTTTTTCCCTCCACGTTTAGAATCGACATCACGCGTTTACAATGTTTGGCTGCTATAAATGTGCACACGATAAGCCACAACTTCGTTCAGCCGTCATTTGTGATGGCCAGGTCGCTTCTGAAAAAGAGCTACGTAGCTCAGGGTGGGGCCTTACCTGGTAAAATAAAAAAGAGTTCAGCTTTTTTATGACATCACGCACGGGGGATGTTTTGCACCACGGGGGTTCGAGCGGCGCACGAGCTGCCACCATGTCCACGGTGGGCCCCCTGCGGGGCGTCGTCCTCTTCCTGTCGTGCCCCGACCCTGGCCACCCCACCGCTGCACGAGACGTCAACCAAACGCCGCCGGAGCGTTCGCGCCCCCCTACCCCACACGCACACTCGCGCCGAGCCATTTGTTTGCGAGGTTTTTTTCAAAAGGGCTTTAAAACTTCCTGTTTGTCATATCTCAGGCCAGAGCGGAGCCCCGGCAATTTTTGGGATTTACACAGCACGCACACGCACACGCGCGTGCACATCATTGCATGGGGTGATTTGTATACAGCCTCCAGTTCATCATTCTCCACAGAGCCGAGCAGCTTGTTAGTCCGTGGCGGACTCGTAGGTGCCGTGCATGCAAGGTTCTCGCTTGTGTGGAGATTCTCAATGTTCTTTATTGTTTGGCATGAGAATGTCACCACGTGCCACCGCATATGTAACCACAGTGCCGCGGCCGACGCGGAGGGATTTGCCACTTGCAGCCGGCCTGCTGTGCGCAATATCCCGGTATAGAGATGAAAGGAATAAACACAGATCCATTGGCCAATGCAGGTAAAAAGATTGGCAGTTTAAGAGGGTGATAAATGAGAAGCCGTGGTGTGGAGTGGTTTCACTGTGTGTGTCTATCATCCGATGTGTAATAAGATAGTGAAAATTACTTGGCGTGACCGTGTGGACATAGAGATTCTGGGTGGAACGGAAACGGGTTTGGCAGGTGCTAACTTTATCCGTTTTCCCCCACGCATTTCGGCCGCCGGTCTACACGAACTCGGCACCCTTGCACGGGATTGCGAGACACGTGCTGTGCTGCGTTGTGTCTTGTGCTCACACTGCAGAATCTTTATTTACACTGGAGGAATCCGGTGAGCTATAAAGCTCTTTTTCCACAGATGTCCAGTTTACAAGACCGCCGGTGGCAGGTCCAACGGGGGGTGGAAATTTCAAGACGCACCCCAACCTATTTGCGATGTCTCAGCTGTGGCGGTTCACCTCTGAAACCTGCCGTGTAAGTCACGTGACCACAGTTACAAGTCGCATGACCACAGTTACCCTGAAAAACGTTTTTGCTTTCTCACACATCGTCAAGTCGGGGGCTGGGAAGCAGGACTGGCATAATAACAGTAATTAATAGCAGTATGTTTAAAGACGACGTGAGTCATTGGCGCTGTGTGTCAGGCTCTCTCCAGGACTGTATACATACACAAATTAAACTAAGTCGCCTCTGTCCACCCAACATTACCAATGGGTGTGCCACAGCGAGTCGATGGGCAGGTCGCGTGAGGTGGGGTCAAGTGGGGTCAAGTGCGGGTAACCCCCACCTCTTTTCCGACAAATATGGCCAGCATGGAAGAGTAGGCCAAATACCCTCTTAAAAGTTCCCTCCAGTAAAAGCCCTTGGTCCAGCATTGGCGTAAGCAAGTGATTACAGGGCTGCGTGTTTTAGTCCTTTTAAAACGCGTTGAATCAGTGTTGTTTTAAAGTAAACAATGCTGTGAGGGTAGTTCAAAAAAAATGTTGTAATTTCTGCTAAAAAATATGTAAATTACACGTAAGTTTGAAATAAGGCATTCGCCTGCAACAGCGGTTTGCTCACCAAACCCGCTCGCTGTCCTTGAAGCACCAGGCTCGCTGTCGTAGAGCTTCCCTCGACCCTGCGTGAGGCCACGCATCTGTAATACGTGTTGGTGATCTTATAGTCGCAGTCCTGAGGGTGGGAAACCAGTTTCTGTTGTCGCCCATAAAACCTCGTCAACATCGAATAGCCAAGAAGGTGGCCAGGAATGACGGCGTTGTAACGTCTCGCCTTCCAGAAGGGCTAGAAAGCTGAAACTTGGCTTAACTATAATCAACTCTATCGCTTATAACCATACAAATCGCGAAAGCAACATTTTCATATTTAAGTTGTGAATTGTTTTTAGGTCTTATACCAAACACACGTATACAATCCCCGTCGGTGAACCCACGTGATTTGCCTCCCGTGCAGGAGTGTGAAGCTGTTGCCAAAAGTGTGCAACAGGGCGGCCTGGCGATTTCGAGTGCGGCACGCAAATGATTTCGAGCATGGCTCGGCCGAAATAATCACAAGAGCCCCAACTGTTACTCGACTTCACATTGCCGGTGAATTCATTGGCAAATTGTGATTGTGACGGTATAATCAATCACACGTGGTCAATCTTGTTTGATCGAGGGATTCAAACTCCGCATCTGACCTTGGGTGGTGCATCGTGAAATTTGTATTACACAGCCACCCTCACTGTGACATTCCCTTAATTTGAATAATGTGTCCATGATGTGTGCTGGTTTGGAGGGTTCCCCCCCCCCCCCTCAAGAAAACGTTAGAATTCCATTCGACTTTTCACAAATTCCCACCCACCCCTTCCCCTGCCACTCTTCCCACAATCTGAACACTGGAGCTCGTGGATTCTTTCGTAAACTCTTGAAAAAAATGTCTTTACAAACTTGTTGTAGTTGTTACCGTGCTACGCGAGGAAACGCGTCTCGCCTGATACATTTTTGCTGTGCGTTTGACGAGGATACAAAACAAGCGGCAAAACACAAATCTAGAAAATGTGTCGCCGCTTCAACGGGTCGAGGATTTAAAAGGGTTCCCAGCATCAGGACATCGCTGCCGAGAGGAGAACGCGAGGAGACGGATTCGTCGCGAACGCTCCTCTGGACACGTGCATGCGCCCGGCGTTTGATCCTGGCGCGGGAGACGTTTCACCGTGCCACGGGCCGGGCTTGGGAGACTTTGAAGATTTTTTTTTACCACTATCCAAGAAACGAGACATTGCTGTAAAGACCGGGGGGGGGAACTCCCTTGGGGGTGGGCTCGGCGGTGATGTTAACGGTCAACAACGACTGGAAACGAGCAAACTCCTCTCTTGGCGGGATGGGCGGAAGACCCCGAGGAGAGAATGAAACGCTCTGGCCCGCTGCTGCGTCTTCTCGGCAGAGAGCGCGACTCGTACGCGCGTTGAGCTTCTTCCGCCACCGTACGTAGCCAACCGTGCTCATCGGAGGTGCGGGATTCGTGTCGTGCGAGCGCCGCAACGCTGCGTCCTCCGTGCGCCGCGCAGGCACTGCAGAGGGCACCCCGGTGCACGAGGTTCACTCGCAACAGGCCCCCCCCCCTGCTCCCTCCCGTGCCTCTGGGGTCATCGGCCAGGAAACGAGCGGCGATGGCTTGAGCTCGACGACACAAACTCGGGCGCGTCTCATCCACGGCGTGTATGCGTAGTTTGCCGTGCGCGCGTACAGGTACGTGCGCTGTCCGTGATGAACGTGCGTTGTATCCGCCGCGGTGTTTGCTTACCATGGCGTGTACACGTTTGGGGTATTGTGCGCTACGCACCTTCTTACGCGTACGGGCTGGTGTCGGTTTACGTTACTTATCTATGTGCGCGCGCTCACGGACTATTCAACGGTAACGGGATTACGGGGCCGGTGTGCGGGCACGCTGGGACGCGGCGAGGCGCGTGCGGGCCCCCGTGTGTTTGTATCGCGCCCAGACTGCCGCGTAAGAACATTTTGGGACTCGGCAGAGAAACCCAAGCGGTGCGTCGCGAAGGTTGTGCTGCTCGTCAGGCGCGTATGCCGCGCCCTCAATTCCGTGACTGTGCATATTCACCTCCGCGCGGCGTATAATTCTGCACTACAATTAAATTAGACGTTTTAAAGAGTGGACGGTGTTGAACCGGGTGAGTCCATTGGATGATCTCTTTAGTTGGGACACAGTGCCGTCACTGCAATTATTTTAAGCGAGTCCTGTTTTTAAATGTGAATTTTAATCCGTGACGCCAGCGCTCCCGTAGTGAGAACGCCGACTTTTGCACGTGGCGTTACTTGTGTGCGTGTGACCTTTCCCCGCCGCCTTCTCCAAACGCGCGCATTGTCGGGTCGTCGACGCCGCTGGCCCGATCCCAGACCGGTGCTGCGTCGGCAGCCCCAAGGACCACACCCGTTGTTGGGCCAGCCACCCATAGATTTGGCTTTGAGTGGCCAAAGCACGAACTCTGCGGGGGACATGCCAAACGTCGTGTGTCCACGAGGTCGTGAACGCTCGATACCCCGTAGGATGCGTTTACAAGAGTGGGTATCCCATTGTTTGCTAGCGTGACTGCCTAAATTTTGCGTTCTTCTTTGCGAGTGTTGGC